TCTAAACTTTCTTTCCTTCGCTTTCTCAACGATATCGCGAGTTAACGCACGCGTCGGTATTGCGTAAGAAACGAAGCACATTTGCGTTCACCACGAGACGCAAGATATACTCATTTCCGGTAGACGAGTTCACGTGAATCCCGGACTTCCCTTACCGCTTTCCGAGTTCACTCGATGCACCCCCTCAATCGGAAAGGTCGCGAGAATCGGCTTCGGACTTTCCCCGGAAACCAGCGGCAGCACGTGTTAAAATGTCACGTAGGCGTGTTTGATTAACCGGGAAAAATGCCGGCTTTTGTGCGAGCACGAAACGCACGACTACACACGGCGCGTGAATGTCGCCCGGGAAGCCGCCTAGCTGGTTTCGAGAGAATATCTGGGCGGTACGCGCTGTATTCGCGCACGCACCTCTCTGCAAAGATGCAAGAGATTTTCGCGAATAATTCTCTCAAACTCTATCCGTCTATTAAGGACACTTTTCGCTCTATTCTTCTATCACCGATTGTTTAATAAATAAATAATCAATTGCTGATATCGAGGAAATAAAATAATTGTGCAGGGAGAACGATTGTTTTATAGCGAATTCAGCAACTTGCGCTAGTGCGAACTAAATGCACACCGAGGGGGAAACCGCTGAGGGCAGTGCGGTGTACAGATTTGCGGCATTACTGGGCATTACTAGGCATTTTTGGGCATTAGTTTGGGCATTATAAAGATAAAATAAGATAAAATAAGATGAAATAAGATAAGATTAAGTAATGCCCACCGGGCATTAGTGGGCATTGGTGTACAAGATCTTGGTCAGCGGTTTCCCCCTCGGTGCACACCAACCCTAGTAGCACAATGTACTTGAAAAAGTAGTTAAGACGATCCTTAAACAACATATAAGAGTTGACTGTAAACAAGTCCTGGTGCGCACTCGGTGCGCACTAATTGCAAGCCGCCGAATTCGCTCAACTTCAATCAATCTGACATCTTTGGCAATGAATAACTACGCAGAATATCTTGTCACACTCGCCCGAATCAAATGTTTCGATACAGTTTCGATTAATTGCGAAACGAAATTCCTTTAGTTAGACGCGTCTAATTCCTTCAATGCCTATCAGCGCGTTCCTAACAAAGTATAAATAGACTCGGCTAACATGGCCGGGCTAATTTGGTAATGGCACGACGTAATGTCTAACATGTGTGTAAATTATGCGACTTGAAGAAGCTATCTTGGGTCTTGTTTGTAAACACAGAATCTCCTTTACGAGACGATAATATACGCGCGTGTGGGAAACGCGTCTCTCTTTCGGCCTGCCGCAAATGAACTTCAAAATCGCGGATGAATAATGAGCTACACATTATTTGGCATGCTAGTTGAGATCCGCGCGTTATCTCACGCTCCACAATTCTAATCTTCGCAATTATAATACGGATACTTTTTGCCGGCAAACAGAAATACCACATCGATAAGAAAGGAGCGAGAGTTCATTTGTGTACCATCAACAAAGAGGCTTGGCTCTCGGTATTTTCCACTATCGGGAACTGCAGTGGCTCACGAGGTCGGAGCTTGATTTCAATTTTGCGTCGCGTTCATTCTCACGTGAGTCGAGCACGTGCTCTTCCCCCCGGTTTAAAATGAAGGTTTCCACCCGAAAAATCCATCTCGACGAAACGAAAGTAAATCACTATCGGCAGCCTTTCGCAATTTTCAACTTGCCTCAATATGACGTTTCTGTTAAAAGCGAGTACTGGGCATTTTTTCGACGTTAGTTTGGGCGTCAGGCCTTGCTGGGACATTATAAAAATAAAATGCCCCCTGGGCATTAGTGGGCATTGGTGTAACATGACTTTGGTCGGCGGTTTAGCCCTCGGCCAAAGGCAAATCTTTATAGAAACGTGCTCGCACGAATCTGTTACTTTCTTTCTTCTCTTTCAGAAATCATTTGTCTGTGTCGCGCATCAGCTGCGATTGTATTCGATTCTCAGTCTGTATGTTTGTATTCCGTATCACGCGTTGCCGGAATCGGACCGCAGAGCTAACAATGAAGTGTCGAACGTCATAAACAAACGTCGTTTAGATACAGACGTCCGCAAGTCGTGGATACCGGCGAGATCTCATTCGCGGCCGCGAGCAATTCCCCATGTGCAGCTGCAAGGGAAACGTCCAGATTTCTTGCAGACGCGTTGTTCCGGAGCGACGGCGCGGCGCGTCCGCTCAATGCGTCCGCGACTACTGCGCTTGCATTAAGCCTCCGCTACAATGATTCTCGGTTCTGTCTACAATGGTCGTACAGTTGTATCGATGGTCGCTTGAGCAGTCGCAAAGCAGTCGTAATCGCTCGAATAGGTTCAATTCCTATTCCAACGACCACGACTGCGATTTATTGCCGCGACGGACCAATCAGAGAATAGTGTTATTTGTCGTGTGTCATTATATGTCGAATATATCGTGGGAAAATGCCTCAAAAACAGAAAATCGGTTTCAGTTATACATCGATACGACCCAATCCATGACTCTACGATTCTAAGACTGCGACCATTGTAGACAGAACCGAGAATCATTGTAGCGGAGGCTTTAGGCTCGTGTCACACTAGCGACTCGCGACTGCGATTGCGATTACATCGGCGATTGGCTATTTCCAATTTTAGGGGCTGCCTAGCCAATCACAATTGCAGATGTAATTGCTATCGCAGTCGCGAGTCATAGATTCGTCCTGTCACCGTTGAATTAGAATCACTGACTCGATTCTTGGATTCACTCGAGAGAGAAACGTATGCAAAAATTCTGCTCTCACAGAAAAGTTGAAAGTCGATTGGCTAAGAACGATACGAATAGCCAATCAACTTGTAAATTTTCTGTAAGAGCAGCATTTTCGCATACGTTTCTCCTTCGAATGAATTCCCAAGGATCTAGTCCCAGTCCACGACTCTTCCCTTGGGAAAATGTATCTTCGGAAACCTTGAAATTTTACTTAAAAAAAATAAGAAATATGAGAAGTAAATTTGGACACTTTAAACTTTGATTTCAGGTAAACTTAAAACTCACTTGAAGAATTTGAAAGAAAACGTAAACAACTGTGAAAAGTATGCGATATAATTTATAATACCGCGTGCGGTTTTCTTCTTACGAGAAACAGGCTTGGCTATCTAAGAATTACCGTGTCTAAAATTATTTAAAAAATTCTTAAGTAAACCCCTGAGTGAACTCTTAGTGAAGGATTACTTTTAGAAACTTTAGTTTCATTTCAAGTAAATTCTCCCAAGGTTTGCGACGCTACGATACGACCGAGAACCGGCCTTACGCTCGTAACTGATGCGACTTCGATGCAAGATTAATTTCTAGCGGAGATTCTCCGCGCCACGAGAATCACGCATCTCACGCCACAATGGCAATATTTTCATTATAACTTGAGAACAATCGGGATATCATTTGCACGTTGATGTATCGTTGAAATCTGAGCCTATCGAAATGAGTATCGGCTTGGACACAGGCTTGGCTATCTAAGAATTACTGTGAGTGTCTAAAATTACTTAAAAATTTGTTAAGTAAACCTTTAACTTCTTTAAGTGAACTCTTAGATGTGACAGATTATTTTTAGAAACTTTAGTTTCATTTACGGTAAATTCTCCCAAGGTTTGCGACACTACGATACGATAGAACCGGCCTTACGCTCGTAACTGATGCAATTTTGATACAAGATTAATTTCTAGCGGAGATTCTTCGCGCCGCGAGAATCTCGCATCTCACATATGCCATAATGGCATAATTTTTATTATACCTTGAGAAAAATCGGGATATCATTTGCACGTTGATGCATATCGTTGAAATCTGAGCATATCGAAATGAGTACCGGCTTGGGCGCGATCCTGTTTAAAATAATAAATCGAATATGATGCGATTATATTGGATTATATGCAGTTTCAATGTAAATTAATAAGACTCTTATTTATTTTCGTTGAAATTGCGTGTAATCTAATACCGTCCGATCATATTCTATCTAATATTTTAAGCAGGGTATGTTATCGCGTGTGCACTCCCTTCACATGTGAAACACGATGATGTACTTATGTACAACGCGCTACGAAAACATTGTGGCTTTGTTTCCCGAGATGCAAAATAGAGAATGGAAAATTTCGCCGATGTGTTAAGTGCCAAGATTCAAACGCTATTCTGGTTACTATTGTAGTTAAAATTAAATGTGCATGAACGAGAAATATTCTCTATGTACTTCGTGCCATGTGAGCCGTGCGAGTGTCGCGCGAAACAATGTAAAAATGCAGCATTGTCGTATCTGCATAAAAAATTGTGAACGACAAATTGACGAGGTCGAACTGCAAGTACAAAATTTACTCCTACTTAAAAACTAGTAGTGTCGGAAACTTCTACTTTTGTCAATTTAGCATTAAAGTAGGTCCTTTTAATTGGAAGCTAAAGTAAATTTTTAGAATTAAAGATTCAAGGGAGGAGTAAAAAAATATCATCAAATTGTCTATCCCGAGTCGAAATTTTGGCCCTACGTTGAACCTTTAATTCTATTATACAGTAGGACCTAAGGCAAGTAACAGAGATCGAACTGCAAGTACAAAATTGACTCCTACTTAAAAACTGGTAGTGTCGGAAACTTCTACTTTTGCCAATTTAGCATTAAAGTAGGTCCTTTTAATTGGAAGCTAAAGTAAATTTTTAGGATTAAAGATTCAAGGCAGGAGTAAAAAAATATCATCAAATTGTCTATCCCGAGTCGAAATTTTGTTCCTACGTTGAACCTTTAATTCTATTATATAGTAGGACCTAAGGCAAGTAACAGAGATCGAACTGCAAGTACAAAATTGACTCCTACTTAAAAACTGGTAGTGTCGGAAACTTCTACTTTTGCCAATTTAGCATTAAAGTAGGTCCTTTTAATTGGAAGCTAAAGTAAATTTTTAGAATTAAAGATTCAAGGCAGGAGTAAAAAGATATTATCAAATTGTCTATCCCGAGTCGAAATTTTGGCCCCACATTTTCCTACCTCCTTCACGTGGTATCCTCGTTTCTGCCTCTCTCGCTCCGTGAAACACAAGTTGTCCCCTGTCTGGCGTGATAAATATATATATATATATCTCTCTCTCTCATACGATTGCACGCAACATCGCGATTACAGGCGGCCACCACCGCGATCGAGAGAGAGAGAGAGAGCCCGCGACGCACGTAGGGGGATGCAATGAAACGGGGGAGGAGTTCCCGTTCTCAAACGACGCCGGCCGCGTTTAAAGGACCGGCGGGGCACGGCCGGGCGGTGGTACTCGCCTCCTCATGCACGATAATGACCGACGTGTAGCGCATCGCGCGCGTGCCAATCGCCGACTCCGGCGCGCACGACCGACTGCTGCGGTCTTATCACGCCGTCGCGCGGCCTGTACGACAATCGGACCGTTCCTCGAGAAGTCGCGAGACCCGCGATAACTCGCGGGCGCGCGTGCGCGAGAGGGGAAGGAAGAGGGAGAGAGAGAGATATATGTATAGAGAAAGAGAGAGAGAGAAAGGGGGAGGGAGAGAGAGAGAAAAAGAAAGAAAGAAAAGAGAGAGAGAGAGAGAGAGAGAGCAACCCCTCGGCTCGGCCGGCGCGCCGACGATCGCGCGCGGTACCGTTCCACGTAACACCACGTTCGACACGCGTTTGAACGCGCGACAATTCGTGCGCGGTCGCGAGACCGGGCCTGGGCCCGGCGCCGATCGACGAGGCGCCACCGCGCCTGCGCGCTCGCCCGCCCGCCCGCGCGTGACGTTCACGTGATCGCGGCGCGTACGCGAATCGCAGGCACTCGGAGGCGCGCGCGTGCCGCGTGCTCCGGGTGCGACTGCGGCTCTTGGTCTCGCGGCCGCGAGGCCGCGTATGTATGTACATGAGAGGCGATCGAGTCCTCTCGGCTCTCCGCGCGTAGGGACGCAGCGCGAACGAAGGGAATTAACGTGCCGGCTCTCGCGTGACCGTTTTCCCTTTGCCGAGAAAAGGAACTGGGCCGGTGGACAGAGAGAGCCACCGGCGGGCGCTCGAGTCTGTCGCACGATCGGTCGTAGACGTTAAGGCAAGGCAGAGAGAAACGTAAGTCGTATACGATAGCTCCTCATGACTTACGTTTTTCTCTGCCCTCGCCGTGTCGGCATTGCAAGAGACGCGCATTGCAAAAACCCTCTAATAATCCAGACCTAAGCGTCTACAGATCATCCTCCGCCATCGCTGTTCGTCGGTCGGGGCGCTCTTCCCCCTCCACCCGCCCGTGTCATACACGGTGCACGTGCTCGCCGCGCCGGTACCGGCGCGACTCGGCGCCGGTCCCACGCACGTGTCTTTTATCCGAAACGTCAGCCGGCGCCAGATCCGCCGGAGGTTTCCTTGACGACTATCCGAGGAATTTACCGTGCACGCGGAGCGCAAAGAGAAGCGCTCCCGGTGTTATGTTAA